TCCGCGTACATGAACTTGGATGCTTCAAACTCTGAAAATTCAGTCTTATAAGGAAGTGGGAAGAATGGGGCAGAGCATTTTTTTTTCTCAATTCTATTATTGCGCAGCCATGGTGACCGCCATTAGGCTCATGGGGTTCGCCATGAGTTTAAGTTGGGTGGTGACGTGGCTGAGGTGCATGGCGAACGCCACGCACCAGAAACATGACTTTTCAACATTTTTCTTCCTTTTCTTGCTCCTTTCACGGTTTTTTTGCGCGGACACACCATTATTGACAAGTACCTGAAATGAAGACAAAATACGACATAAATGTACGAAAATTCGATAAAACGACACTAAAATGCATGTGAATCGGGTCTAAATATTCAATACGTTTTCACGTTATCATTTGCCTTAGAGCATCTTTAGTGGGAGTATCTTAAGTGGATAAACTAAGATATTTTTTGTGGCTCAGAGTGATTTGTAGGATTTAAAAAATTTATAGTTGATTTGAATTATTTTCTTTAATGATAGTTGCTTATAAAAAAACTAAAACTTGACCTTATATTTTATATTTGTAATTATTTCTTATTGAAGTTACCATTAATTTAAATAATAATATTATATATTTCAAAATAAATAGCATATGCTAGCTATATAATTGTCGAAAACTAAAAGTTAGTGAATTAAATTAAATGTCATGTCATAGTCATTCCAATGCAAATTCTTTATAATCATCGTTAACTATAAAAATTTTAACTATTAAAAACTTACATTAAATATGCTCTTAATCAAAAATTAAGGAAGAGACATTCTGGGATGTTTTTCTCAATCAAGGTGACCCTTATTTATACAATTTTGTATTTATTTTAGACCACACAAAACGGTCGGTACAATTACAGTCATCCAAAATTGTCGGCAAAATCCTGACCGTTTAAAATTTTAAACAAATTAAACTACCAAAAAATTAACTTTAGTTGAAATTTTTAGTATAATATAATACTTTTCAACATTTCCGATAATATTACAAACTCACAGAAATTTCAAAAAGAATTCTAATAACCAAATATTTTAGATACACTTTCGAAAATTTAGGTGGTATCGAAATTATAAAATTGTCTTCTGAAAATTTTGTAAGCAAATATGTCTAACATTTGTCAAAAATAATTGAGATTATAAAATTATGACAAGTGTCGTATACAAATGCGGGAATGACAACTTAAAACTTCAAATAATAAATTACAATTTCATTTATGTTTTAATCTTCAATAATGTATGTTTATGTTATACCAATCTTTGAAAAATTATGTTTTATAAAATCCAATTTTAAAAATACAAAGGAAAAAAATCATTTTTTTAAAAAATAATAGACATGCCTATAAACACATTTTAAATCATGTCTAATCCATTTTAAATAAAACAAAGACCTATCTTTGTTGTATAAGAGTAAACCCCAAAAAAAGGCTCCTGAATTCTAACAAAATCCTGTAAAGAATAAACAAAATCCATACAAAATGTTGAATACATTCCCAAGGCACCAAGAAAATCAATTCTACTACAATGTAGTTTTGTTATACCAATCTATCACCCCAATCATCAATCAATCCATTCATTTTTGTATGCTTTAAAAATTAGAGCTTATTGGAAATTATTCCCTTGTACAAAAAAAAGCATATATGTATTTCCGTCTACCATTTTACAAATATGCACTTTTATTATAACCACGGAATGCACAGTGCAGCTTTTTTCTCTGGTACCTTGGAAACTGTTTCAACAAAATCAGAAAGTAATCATTGTCAGCAACTATTAGACATTCATAAGATATACATGATAGAAAATGAGGGAAAGAAAGGACCATTTAATAAACACTTACCATAGAAACAAGATGAAGATCTTAACCTGCAATATAAATATAACTTTTCATATTGAAGCATTCCATTTTTATGCAAGTATCCTGCAGAGATAACACAGGAAGCTATTAAGACAACTAGGGTTGTGAGAGAGAGAAAAAAGAAGGAAAGAAAAGGCACCCTCAAGCATGTGCCACCGTGGCTACGAGGTATTGTCCTCTGAGTGTGAGAACCCTCAGAGCTTGTCCTTTAGAAAACACTCAAATTGAGGAGCGTGGGTGTTGTATATAAACTTTTTCAGAATATATTAAGAATTATGACTAATACTTGCTCAAATACACTCAAATTGCGTTCACATTGATCTGCACTACATGTCAAGCTCAAAATTTTAATGGAAAATTTCGGCAAATTTGGAGTTTTGTGGCCATGCATTGCCGCCATCGAGCTACAAAACTAAATTTATGCTCTAGAATTTCAACACTATAAAAATAAACTTCAATAACTAGATAACTCTCTTAGTTTTCCTTACATAATCTGTTTATGTTCCACTCATTAGAAGCACACATCCTTCTAAGATCTGTTTTTAAGCTTTATAAAGCAATTCTAATGATAGAAATGATGTAGCAAATCTAGTAACTCCAACCGGATAAGATACATACTCTAACTCTGAGAGATACTCTAACAAAGATATTTTCACTTTCGACCATGTGAGTTCATCCTTTGTTTCACATCTCACATTGAACTGGTGTATGTACTCCCTTCCATACTCGAGTTCTCCAATCTCACATTTACTTCTCTGATGTTCCTTGAATTTTGAGGTGCGTTTTCGTGTGCAGAATCCATATTTTTTATTCACCCACATTGTACACCCACATTGTCTCCTGTGCAGACAATGATTCTATACAGATAGCTCTAAAAAGTATTTTTTTTATATAGATAGCTTTCAAATTCTATTTCTTTCCCTTAACAGTTGTAACATCTAATTTTTTATAAAATAGATCTTTCAACCTGTTTTTAGGCCATTCTTTCTCTTTGTAGCACTGCTAGGAAGTGTTGAATTGTCAAACCAGAGTTTCTAGAACTCCTAACCAGAGCTGAATGTTCCTAAACCAGAGAAAATATTCTCTTGCCCATCTTTAACAACATTTCAGAATGCCCCCCACCACTACCCATTCCCTCTCTCTTATAGCCAACTCACATGAGGTTACTGCACACCTCACTAACTAATTATCTAACCGGCCCCGCCAAGAGGTCAGCACATCCTAAAATTCATTCATTTGTTCTGTCCAATGTGGTGGTGAAATTATCCAACTAAACCTCCAAGCCAGAGCATTTCCCTTCGGTAGCACACAATGTTGATTTCCAAGCCTAACCCTTAAGGAGTCATTCAGATTCCCCGTGAGACCCGATGTTGTTGGGGAGATACGAAGTTGTGGCCAGCGCCGCTGTCAATTTAAGGCCACAGTATTCACCCCATCAATTGTTCTTCTAGCTTAAGAGTAGTAAGAGGAGCTTTTTTTGGAGTAGGATTCTCCACCAATCCGCAAAGCACCGTGAATTTATAGTCAAGGACCTCGTGCTCCTCACCTTCCCTCAGCTCAATTGGCATCACTTTTCCTTCTTCATTCACTGTTTCAATCGTCTCCCAATATGGACTGCTTCTTGTTGCATTAATGTGATGTAGGATAACTCTCATCACACCGGAAACATAACCCACGAGCGTCGCAGTCCATCAGTTCGGATTAAAGTATATTTGAGACCTTGATTGTTGAACTCACTGTTTCCCTTTCGTTTGTCTTCGTCGTTAAGTTGTGTCGCATTCGAACATAGGTTGGAAGTTGATTGATTGGGTTGACCCTCCTTTTGTTGGGATGGCCCAGCTAGCTCAATAACAAAACTAACACGGTTGGGGCTTGGGTCATAAATTAACCTGTTACGACCATTTTCACTCAACCCTGAACTGGACCGAATTAACACATTCCCTTTCCTATATCGAGCTCCCTTTTTCCCACCTCTTAATGCTGACCAACCACAAAGTTCACCTTTACATAGTATGCCAGCTTCATCACCTAGACTCTCAACCTAAGAAGATACGTACTCAAAACCTGAGATATATTCATCCATCTCTCCCGTTAGTTAAGATCCTTAGATTCTTCAAATGAACTATCAATTTTCCTTCCTTCCTAACATTCAATCAAAGATTTTTCACTTTTGACCATGTGATTACATCCTGTAGTTGAAATTTGACACAGTTGATACTTTGAAGTTGTACATGTCAACGAGGGAGGATTCACTACGTCAAACATTCGCGGAGTTCTGTCAATCCTTGGCGGAGTTCTCCAAATTACATTGAACACCAGAAATAACTTTAGAATCATTGTTTGCACAGGAAACAATGTGGGAGTACAAGTTGGGACACAAAAACACACCTCAAAATTCAAGGAAGGTGAGATTGGAGAAGTTGAGTATGGAAGGGAGTACCATACAATAGTTCAACTTTATATGTAAACTCCTCTCAATGTATGTGGCAGGTCAGACGAATGGTAGAACTCCTCTCAATAGCGAAAAATGATGAAGAAAGGATAAGCTACAGTTTCTAGAAAACTCCTAACCAGAGCTGAATACACCCAAACAAAAGAAAATACTCTCCTAACAACTCTGACAATATATTTCAGAATGCCCTCACTTCTACCCAACCCCTCGTGCAGATTTGCCCCAATGGTTGGCCCACCCTGGCCATAGGCTCAAATATCCTATCATAACCCGATTCGATAATTGACACCAGCTTAAGATGAGTAAAAAACATAAAATCTTATTTCTGAATAAGCTAGAATAAAAGGCACACTTACAAAAATTATATTCAGTGCATCATGATTATATAGATCATAAAGTATGATTAAGCTAATTCCATTTTAGAAGGTACAGTGTACCTATGCTACTTGAAAACTGGAATCATTTATAAATTTATATAAATACATAACATGTATTATTTCCAACAAGAGGATTCAATCATGATAAAAGAACGTAAGATTCGTAAAACCCAAGTACCATGATGAAGCAAAGGTTACAAGAGATTCATCAATATATAATCCGTAAACAAAAGAAACCCTCAAATTAAGAAAAAGGAAACACAAGTTTGAAACTTACATTACAAAAAGTGACCATGAACCTTCAACTTAAACGCATGGAAGCAAGGAAATCCGACAACCTGATAGCATCATGTATAAAGTTAGTGAAATTGGAAAGGTCACAAGAGCACAAGGCCGCCAAACATAAGAACCATGAAAAGGTAAAAAGAAACCTGATGTCTTTGGCAATTATTGTGTCACCATCTGCAGCCCCAAGATGTCGCAAAGCTACCTCCTCAAGACGGCCATCTCGATATGCATGCTGCAATCAAATATATAAAAAATAAAAAAATAAAAAAACTAATTAGGCCCCAGTTGTTCTGTAAGCACTAATTTTTAAAACAGTAGAAAGCCTTATAGTGCATCAATGTTATACTTCCACTATATACCTTGCTACCAATGTTGACAATTGCGGATTGCAGAAAATAGTGGTTTGTTTAACTTCCACTATACTATAGTCTATAATGCTATAGCACTGTTATAGCCACTATTTGACAAGACTTTGCACTAAATTGTGCATCACAAAACAATAAAAGTTTATTAAAATTCGGCTATGGCTCTACGCTATGCCACTATTTGACAACATTGATAGTTACCAGGAAAAAGTTGTAGTCTTTAACTTCGGGGACGTATAGAAAAAGTTAAGTCATGAAGACAACTGAAATTTGCTCACTGCATACGGAATCTAGGGAACTTAAATCTCTATATGAAAAATGATTTACTATTGTCATAAAGCATCATTGCATGGAAAGAAAAAACCTTTCGATAGCCGAGTTATAAGATAATTAAAGTCCTGGCAGGAAAAGTAAAACATGGAGGAGCTGAAAGAGTGAGAGCTAAAAGTTGAACTAAAATTCATATATTTACCTTGTAGAAGCAGCTAGTTCCAAAAGGACAGTTTCCATCCCCAAACTCAAAATGCTTGCAATCGATTGACCTACAAATGGTTTTGAACAAATACCAAAATAAAATAATCAAAAACAAAAGCCCTAGACATGTTCGGGGATAGTTTGGATTGACTTATTTGAGTTTATTTACTGGCATAAGCATTTGCGAGACTGTTATGGGAAAGCTTATGAAAACAGCTTATGATATATTCATAATTTATTTTTACCTTATATTTTCGTAGCTATCCGGAATAACTTAAGAAAACAGCTTAGAGCTTATATGAAAATAGTTTGACATAATTTTATCTTTTGTTATAGAAATAGTTTGGATCAATTGGATAGAGAAGGCATAAAAAGTCATGAAGAGATGGTAGGAGTGATCGAGAAATTACTTGAGCTTAGCCTTGTAGGTATCAACGATTTCCTGTTTTTCTTCACTTGTAGCATACCAAATAACACTTGGAACAACAAAGTAAGATAGCTTGCGACAGATAGGACAGGCCCGCAGTGTGCTATTCACGTCCATCCCTAATGTTGGGTTACTACTCCGCCAATTTCTAATACAGGATATGCAGAAGGGATGATCACATTCAGATAGCAGACCAAACTTTCGTTCAGCTGCTGTAGGCTTTGAAAGAACGCGTTCCAGGCAAACACAGCATTCAACTTCCTGACTTTTTTTCAATGCCTCGAGATGTTTTTGCTTATTTTCGCAACTCTTCATATGTTCTTCTCTTTCTTCAGACCGGAAGGGATGCAAGCAATGTCTTCCACATGAGGGGCATAAATCTCCATGTACATGAGGACATTGTTCCCCTCGAGGACAGTTTCCAGCAGCAGCAAATGAACAAATTGGAAGCTCGGAAGGTGAAGTAATTACAGATTGACCAACATCATCCTCCCTTAAGAAGTCTGCAGATTCTTGATTCCAGACAGGTTCACTAGGAAGAACATAAGGACTGTTGAAAAGAGAAAATTCTGCAGCTGTAGCAACATCGTTCGATGTAATTCTGGTATTACCAAGTAAAACAGATTCTGGCACAGCGAGCTGGTTTTCGATTATTGAGGAAGATGGAGTAGAGGACTGTGCTCGAGAAGCTTTGACATGATCATACCTGCAGCGACTACCATAAGCACAAACTCCTTTCTGATAAAATGTGCATATCTGCAACAACAACAACAACATACGCAAACAATCAGAGAAACGCCTAACTCAATAATGATAACTTAAATCAGTGAAATTTCAAGCATAGAGTAGATTGTATCACCAACATTATTCGGAGGGGCTTTCCAGTCATGAGAAAATTCGCAATGCTCCCCTTTCAGACACGCTCCATGAGCAAAGAACTTACAAAGTACCCTATAAGATTCAGAAGACAAGAATTACACAAATTATAACAGTCTGCAAGTTTGCATAGGAAACAATCATAAAGCAAATTAACACCAAAAGAAAAGAATGAAATCACATGGCTCAAAAATCAAGTTCATCGTTTAAAACCAATCAACCATATATCCACAAATAAAATCGCAAGGCTTGATTAAAATGAATTCATCGCCAAAAAGAATGATATCCAAATTGATTAAAAAAGGTAGAGTTCAAAAGGCTCCAGCGTACATAGCCTCGCCCTGGTGGAGAGGCTGTTTCCAATATTTAAACCCTTTACCTCAAGGTCAGAAGGCAAAATAATAAGATCTATCGAATCATCTAAAAAACTGGTGGCAATACCAATACCATCATCTAAAAAACTGGTGGCAATACCAATACCATTATTCATCGTTTTTATGATAAATAACAAATTTGATTAATTCACCCCACAACGACGGCAATCAGGGTTGCAACACCAGTGCCGTCCGAAATCGCGAAAGCCTTTCCGCGACCTCGACCGAATCATCATATGATCAAAATTATAAATTGAACCTGATTGAGTTCCTAGTTTAATGAGCTATCTAATAATCTATTAATCCAAATTACCATTTCCCAAACTCTACTTTGTAACTTTTCAATTCCTTATTTCTGAATTCCAATCAAAACAAGAAAATAAAAACCCAAAATGAAAGAAAGAAAACACAAATTCCTCATAACAAATCATCAACAACAACAACATACAAATATCAAAGAAAGAACAACAACACAAATATTTCAGAAATTGAAGAAACAACAACAATCAGAAACCCCCAAAATAAAAATCAAGAATCGCCAGAAACGGAAGAAACTGCATAAGAAAACTGAAATAACAAAAGAAAAACCAAGATAACAATCTACGTCTCACCTCTTTGACATGGAGAATCAATCGAAAATCAGAAATAATCTTAATCAAGAGGCGTGAGGATCAAAACCCTAAACCTCAAAGCGATTATTATCAAAAAAGAGAAAGAAAGGAAAAAAAGGGTAATAATAAAAATTGAGGTAGCCAAAAAAACGTGAGGTTTTGCGACCACTCAAAAAGATTAAGAGAAAGAAAGAAAGGGGTTGTTATGTTGTGGGGTGGTAAGGATATGATTTAAGAATAGAAAAAAAAAATGAGAAAAGATTAGAACTTGGAATTGAATGGAAAAAAAAATGATTAAAAAAAAAAAACGTCACTTTGTGTGAGAAACAGAACACAAGTTACACAAAGGTTTTTTTCAGATGTGTTGTTTGTTCTTACATCGGTTTTTGTGTCTCAGCACGTGATTTTGGTTTCTCATATGATCGATCACGTGCCCTTGGATTTTATGTTTTCTAGATTTTTAATGTGTTATCTTTTATTAGATCTTACTACTAAATTTTAATTTAGTTTATATAAATTTTAGTCAATAAAAAGTGGTTAAGAGTGTGTTGTGAATTTTTTTTATTGGTCAAAATTATACATTTATTCTAATTTTAATCAGTGTTCAATGGATTTTATAGTAAATTTGAGAGTATATCAAATACTTCTTTATTAGATTTTCTTTATTTTTAGAAGTTTAAATTATTATAATATTTTTTAAAAAAATAAAAAAATTAATATTTATTTTTAATAAATAATTTTAAATTTTAAATGTACTTTTGGTCCTTCTAATTTGATGATTTTTAATTTTTAGTCTCCTCATTTTAAAAATTATTTTTTTTGTATGAACTTTACATCATTTTGGATCTAGTCGTATTTCTCCAATTTTTCAAACGTGACGTTGATGATTATAACAAAAAAAATATTTTTAATGAGTTGGTAATATTGATTAGAATAATTTATTATTTAATTTTTTTATATAATAAATTAATTAATAATTGATTATTTTAATTAAGTTTTTAAAAATATTTGTTTTATAAATTAATTTGGAATCCAATTAATAGATATTCTAAAAAGAAAAATTGGGCTTTAGGTCCAAATCACTTCAACAAATTTACGGCCCACAAGCACTTAATGTGTTGTGTTTTTTAAACATATATAAGGACTAAGGATATTTGAAAGGAAAATAATGTCAGACTTAGTGGGGTGTTTCTCCTTTGTTCCTCGTCTTGTCTCTTCCATAACTGAATGGAAACCTCATTTTGTCTCTCCTATAGCTAAAACTTGACTTGTCAATATCACCTAAATAATCATTATCAAGGTTCCATTGACTGAGAAGGGTGTGTTTGTACAAAGTTGGTTTAATAGAATGAGTTTCATGTTGAACTTGGGATTTAGCATTATTCTTGCATGGTTGATCTCCTTGGGTGATTTGGTTATCTTAAAGAAGCTTATGGTATGATACGGGAAATGAAGGTGAGACCTGATTTTATAGTTTGGGGTTTCCTTCTTAGGGCTTGTAAGATTCACAAGAATGTTGAACTATGGGAGATTGCTGTAAGAAAATTGTTTGAGCTAGATCCAAGTAATTGTAGATATTATGTACTACTCTCCAATGATTATGTTAATCCTCAAAGGTGGAATGATGTGGAGGGGATTGGAATATTAATGATAAGGAGCATCCATAACACGAGAAGATATATGAGTATTTGGAGGAATTAAATGTCAAGTTGCAAGAACTTGGTAATATGCCAGATTTAACATCAATGCTCCATGATGTTGATGAGCAAGCGAAAGGCTAAGAGTTCACAGTGAAAAACTAGATGTCACCTTTGGAACCAAGAATTCAATTCTTGGATTAGTCATCCATATTATAAAAAACCTTAGAATTTGTGTGGACTACCACACTGCAATTAAATTGATCGCTTATGCACGGTTCAAATACATAATGTTATTGTTGTACTGCAAAAGCCAATAAAACCCAAGAGCAAATATTATAAAAGGTAATTATTTTTTCTTAAAAAATGAGAAGCATCAACAATCATTACAAACATGTAAAATAATACTCTTATGGGTACTTGTTGTGCCTACATTGTTGCGACTTCTACAAGTGCTCATTTATTTTCTTTACAAACAAGAGTTTGTTTCTCAATTAGAGCACAATAATGTTAGAATGTCAGATCTACAAGATCTCATAAAGAGCAACCTCTGAAGAGCTTGCTCACAGATTTTCTTCGTGGTCTTGATATCATGTTTTAACAACATTTATTTACAAGCCTCTAAAGATTAGAAGATAAGATTAAAAGGTTTTACGTGAGAAAAGTAGTACACAGTACAAGATCAAATATTTCTTCCACTATGTTGATTTTGTGGAATAAGGATTGTACTATTGTGTCATTTTGTCTCCCACCTTTGCAGACCATTATGCAAGGGGCCAACTCATTTGTGAAGATTTCCATTCTACTCTCTAACAGATCTTTTCATTGCCTATATAAAGTAAACTTGAAAGAATGAATGAAGCTATTAGTTTATGCTAGTTCACGCTACATCACCATGTTTTTGCTTAACAGAATATTATTCATGTGAATATAGAATAAAAAAACACACATAAAGCTTTTGTTCTTTTTTGTATGATAAATTTATTGTACTTAAACTTGTGTAATTTGCTTTCTTAGAAGAAATTTGTAAACATGTTTCTTGTATCTCATTCATTGAGTTTGTATTCCTTGAGAGACTAGGGTATAATCAGTATTCTCGAAAAGACATTGAGGATAGTCTTTTTGTGTCTATAATCAGTTGATTATAGTGAAAATCTAAGAGGATTGTTCTTGGTGATTTTGTTAGAGTCTGTATAGAAAGACTAGGATTGTCTTATCCATAAGATCTAACAATAGTGAAAATCTCTTACTGTGTAAGGAGACAGTAGTACTCTCGGATTGTGAAGGGAACCAAGATATATCTCTGTGCAATTTATCTTTCCGCATTTTACAGTTTTCCTCACATAGAAACTAAATCGAAAAAATTACAGGACTTAAGTTAAAATCGAAAAAATAATTCTAAGTACCTAATTCACCCCCTCTTAGGTGCATGCTCTACTTACAATTGGCCTCAGCGTATGTTATAGGTAACCTATTCCTTTAAGATCCAATATGGCTTCTGGAAGTACTAATCCGGTTTTCAAAGATGGTGGTAGTAGCAACAAACCCCAGTATTTTTTGGTGAATATTTTAATTTCTGGAAAATTCGCATGAAGGCTCATTTGGAAGCACAAGGAGAAGGAATTTAGGAAATCGTTGAAAATGGTGCACATAATCTAGTTAGTGTCATTAATGGTGTCGGAATTCCAAAGGATAAAAGTTCTTATGATGAAGATGATAAGAAGAAAGTCCTTAATGAAAAGAAAGCAAACAACATACTTCAAAGCGCGCGTAGCATGGACAAATTCTTTCGTATCTCTCGATGTAAATCGGCAAAAGAAATTTAGGATACTTTGGTAGAAACTCATGAAGGAACCAATGAAGTAAAAAGACCAAGATTGAATACCTTGATTCAAGAATACGAAATGTTTCGAATGCAGCCCGAAGAATCTATCATCGTGTTGCAAAAGAGATTTGTGCACTTGACAAATCATTTGATTGCTCTTGGTAAGACTTTTACTAACGATGAATTAAATCTTAAATTTCTTAGATCTTTAACCAGGGAATGGCAACCTAAAGTGACGACAATATCAGAAAAGAAAGGCCTTTCAACTATGACATCTGCATCATTGTTCGGAAAACTCCAAGAACATGAACTTGAACTTGGAGGACTTGAAAAGCATGAGAATCAAGAGAAGAAATCCAAATGCATCGCTTTAAAAGTAGAATCAAAAAAAGAACAAGATAACGATGCTCTTGAAGAAGATGATAACTTCATGCTTCTCGTGAAAAGACTTGGTAAGTTCTTTGGTAAAAATGATAAATCTTTCAATTATGTAAAAAGAAATAAACATTTCAGAAAAAAGAAGGCTTCCATGTTAACACCCGATGTCACATGTTATGAATGTGGAAAACAAGGCCATATGAAGACGGATTGTCCGAAACTCTCCAAGAAAGGTGGCTTCAAGAATAAAAAGGAGAATAATAACAAAATAGCTTACATAGCATGGGAAGATAATGAGATAAGCTCTTCATCAGATTCGAATAGCGACGAATGTGCAAATCTAGCATTGATGGCTTCACACCATTCCGATCATGAAGAGGTTAGTAATGAATTTTCCATTTATGATAATGATGCACAAGGTGCTATAGATGAACTTCTTAATGAATGCAAAATTCTGTACAAAACAATATCAACACAAAAGAAATAAACTTCATCTTTAGAAGAAAAAATTGAGACAATGCAAAAAGATTTCAAAGATGAAAAATAAAAGATAATAAGTGAACAAAAACAAAATTTTGTATGCAAAGAATGTGAATCTTATTCTTTTCGAATTGTCCAATTAAAAAGAGTTCTTGAAAGATATGAAAAAGAAAATTTTGGTTTGGAGGGTGTTCTTAGTCAACAAAGATATTCTAATGATAAAAGTAGTCTTGGTTATTCAAAATTTAGTAAACCAAGTTCAAGCAAAACTATATTTGTTAAAGCTAGTGAGCAATCCCCAAAAGATAAAGTTAACAAATCCAAAGTTGTTCATCCTTATCCTAAAAGGAAAACATTTGTTAAAAAAAATCATATGATCCTAGGTATAGAAGTAATTGTTCCTACATGCTTTTATTATAGAATAATTAGTCATACACCTAATGCTTGCTATGTTAGAAATTTTAGTGTGCCAAGTGGGCATTATGTATGGGTCAAGAAAGGAACTAATTATGAAGGACCAAGGCAATTTGGGTACCTAACAAAACTTAATTTGTTTTGTAGGTATGCTTGAAGACCACTTCTAATTTATGGTGTCTCAATAGTGGTTATTAGAAGCATATGACAGGAGATATTAATAAATTTTTAAATCTAGTGCTTAATTCCAAGGGATATGTCACTTATGAGGACAACA